AGAGAGAGAGAGAGAGAGAGAGGGGAGAGAGAGAGAGAGAGAGAGGGGGAGAGAGAGAGAGATAGAGAGAGAGAGGGAGAGAGAGAGAGGGAGAGAGAGAGGGAGAGATATAGAGAGAGGGGGAGAGAGAGAGGAGAGAGAGAGAGAGAGAGGGAGAGAGAGAGAGAGAGGGAGAGATAGGGAGATAGAGAGAGAGAGAGAGAGAGAGAGAGAGGGAGAGATAGAGAGAGAGAGGGAGAGAGAGAGGGGGAGAGAGAGAGAGGGGGAGAGAGGGGGAGAGAGAGAGAGGGGAGAGAGAGAGAGAGGGAGAGATAGAGAGAGAGAGAGAGAGGGGAGAGAGAGAGAGAGGGAGAGATAGAGAGAGATAGGGAGAGAGAGGGAGAGAGAGAGGAGAGAGAGAGGGAGATATATAGAGAGAGGGGAGAGAGAGAGAGGGAGAGAGAGAGAGAGAGAGAGAGAGAGAGAGAGAGAGGGGAGAGAGAGAGAGGGAGAGATAGAGAGAGAGAGAGGGAGAGAGAGAGAGAGAGAGGGGGGAGATAGAGAGAGGGAGAGAGAGATAGAGAGAGAGAGAGAGAGAGAGAGAGAGAGAGAGAGATTAGTGATATGTTGAAGATACATTATGCAAGATTTAGATAAAGAGCTGGTCGTTCTTGCTATAATAGCTGGTTCAAAATTAATCGAAACTTTCATTCAAATTATTTTATTCTGAGCGAGACATAGATTGTTTATTATCATAGCAACGTTACTTGTTAATCGTGACTCAGCCTCGCTCCTCCAGTTTAAAATTAAATCATTAATTGAATCATTTTATATCTGCGCCAGAAGAATATCCTAGAGAGTTGATTATAGGCCTGTCATGTAAATAAATGTCTAAATAGTATTTTATATAACATTTGAAGCCAAAATAAAAACCTGTAATAGACACATTTAGCTCTTACATAATGCATGTTTAAAAAGCCTAATTGAAAGACGGGCGGAGAGGAGTTGGGTTGGGGGTGGGGGTAGCTCTTACATAATGTATATTTAAGATCTATTTATTTCTTTGCTAATATTTATTTATTTTATTTTAATTTTTTTCAGGATTTTATCCTACACCTGGTCGTCCTATAATCCGATTTAAATTGGTTGATTTAGACTTCAGCCTTCAACTAGGCGACATCCAGGACATCAAAACACGACCTCTGTTTTTCAGCATCATCGACGATTCTGATGCTACGAGTCGTAGGAATGATAGACCAATATGCGAAATCTTGTCAAAAGCTAATTATAAGACCACAGCTGCTGAGATCGGTGGTGGTGATGGCAAAATTATTCCCGGGGATGTAACGACAAAGATGCTTGGTGGAACAGTTGCTGGAACTCGTCAGAGAAACTTGAATGTTGCACGACAGAAAGAACATGAGGAAATCAAATATGGTGATGATGATAGCAAAATTATTCCTCGAGATCTAGAGACAAGGATGCCACGTACCCTTAGGTCGTCTGCAGTGAGGACCCTTTCCAGAAACTTGATTCCCGGAGTCATAACGACAAAGATGTCAGCTGGAACATTTGCTACATGTACCCATAAGTCGTCTGTAGCTGAAACCCTTTCCAGAAACTTGATTCCTGGATATGTAAGGCCCAAGATGCCAGATGGAACAGTTGCTGCATATTTCACTCCATGTACCCTTAAATCGTTTGCAGCGCAGACCCTTTCCAGAAGCTTGATTCCTGGAGATCTAACGACAAAGATACAAAAGATGCAAGGTGGAACAGTTGCTACATATTTCACCCCATGTACCCTTAGATCGTCTGCAGCTGGAACCCTTTACAGAATTTTGAATGCTGTAAGACAGCAAGGAAATCTAGGAATCGTAGATGGAAATATTTCTGAAAGGACAACTTATAAAAATGGAGCCATAAATATGGTTGACAACACGAAAGCTGAAAACGTCATCTCTTCAACTCAAGTCAAACCGACTTCTAGTGGAACCATTCCTGAGATTGAACTCTCAGACAGAATTATAAGTCATCGGTGCCAAGATACCAAAGATATTGTTGATATAAACACTTCCAATTCTACAGTTTCATCAGTCATGACAGAACATCGACCTTTCTCAGATAAAACTGAAAAACAAGAAACGCCTAGAACCAAGAATAAGCAGAATTTTCTTAAAGTGAGTTTTTTTCTGTTTAAAACTCATTGTCATGGTAACCATATAACAAAATATTGTTTCCGTGTTATATACAATAATTTCAATGGGCATTATCATTTTCATTCAGAAAATTAATTCATTTTAAACTCACCAACTTATAAAGATCCAAACACAGAGTTCAATAAAGAAAAATATATTTTATCATTTTCAGAAATTCTGGGAAAGAATCACCTGGAAATCAAAGAACAAGACAGAAAGTAAAATAGGTCAGTTTATATTTTATACTAGTACATCATCAATCATCATAAAAAGGGGAGTCGCGGTGACTCAGTGAGTAGGAAGCTGGCTCACTAACCAGGAGGTCCGAGATTTTCCACGTGGTTTCCCCTTGTCAGTGGTGCAGGACTGAAGGACTGACAAGGACAGTGTCTAGTCGTTCGGATGGGACGAAAAACGAGGTCCCGTTTAGACATTGGCATGAAGTTAAAAGAACTGTCAATTTTTGGAATTCGAATAAGAGTAGGCTGTAGCGCCGTTGTCCGGTCAAAATTTTCATCATAGCACACTGTATTGTGTATGACCGTCTTTATTAGCCCAGTCGGAGCAGAAAAGTAGGACGTTAAAGCAAATTTCATTTCATTTCAAGATCGCATTCAATGATTTTTAATACAATTTTTGTTAAATCGAAATCTGTATTTTCTTTTAAATATTTCAGATGAACAAAGTGATAAAAAGTTGAAGAAATCGTCCAAGCTGACATCTTTAATGTGTTTATGCCAACCAAAAACCTTGGATTAAACTGGAGAGTGAACGTTAATTGTTTATATATTTTATCTATAGACGATCGTATCAATACAAGTTTTATATTTATATTTGTAAGAAAAAACAAAAATTACGCCTTGAATTCAATACATTTGTAAGAAAAAACAGAAATTTTAAAAACAAAAATCACGCCTAAATTCAACACATAACCTCCGAACAATGTATTTCCATAAGTTTATAAAATTTGATATAAAATTATTTTTATTAGAAATTGCTTGCTTTGTTAACTTATGGAACATAGAAATATTCTTGGTGTTATTTTAATGGTATTTAGGGATCCACGGTGACTCAGTGAGTAAGAGGCGTCGCTAGCCTGGGGTTCCTGTGTTCGATCCCGGTGTTGGCCGAGAAAGTTCATCTTGTCTACAGGGGCGGTGGAATGTAAGGGTCTGTTTAGGAGCGTGTCATAATTTCGTTTAAGTACGACTCGTAGCGTTATTTGTATTTGAGTTGAGTAGAATTCTGAATCGAAAATAAATTGGAGGGGGGGGGGTACAATTATTGATTAGTGGAGATATCGATCAGATTCTATGGGAAGATTTGCGACCAATCACACCTGCACTTCGGAGCTACTGTCCTCTTAGATATAAAACAATGGAGTTTTAACGACTTGCTTACTCCACATAAATTAAAGTATTAAAGTTCATCTGATTGTGATAAGTCTTGTTACAACCTGATCCTCTAGATGTGGGTGTGTGTGGGAGTGGTGGTGGTGTGTGTGTGAGGGGGGGGGGGGTATTGCGTGGTAGCCAGAGAAATGGAGTGTAACGTCCACTCGACACAAACTAGGTCATTTCAGGACTTACACATGGTTCAATTTTATTTCTAGAATTCGCTTGCGCGTATGGGTCTTTAGCAGTGGGAGGAAACCGGAGGACCCGGAGAAAACCCACGATGTTGCGACCCTACGCCTTGTCACGTACAACCGGTGATTCGAAACCACGCCAGTGGACTCAATGACAGACCTTATGATACAGCACGCACGTGCTAACAATTCGGTCACCCACCCCCCTTTCGCCCCTCCCCTCCCCCTCTACACCCCACCCCGCGCCTAGGGCTATAGCGTGGTAGCCAGATAAATCTCACGAGCTCGTAATCGAATCCGTGACCTGCATAGTAGATATGAGACCCAAACATGAGGTATTTTAACAGCACAATTCATTTCTAATGTTCATAACTTCAGATTCAACTGGATAATCACGGGTAACCTCTAGTTGGAACTTTGGTAGTCTCACGTTCTTCCAGAGCTGGGTCACAGTTGATCAGAAGTCAATCCATCCGGGCATGAAGTAACAACTGTCATTCATGATTTGTTGTTACTGCTTCTCTATATATAATTGCCCTACACATTTGTTACTGTACTTGCTTGAAAACGTTGAGAGAATACTCTTTGAAACGTCGCCTAAATAAATGAGTAATTGTTCTTCCAATATAGTTTATAACTTCCATTTAATTTGTCCATTTCAAATCGTGTTAATTTCAATTTTTAAAAATCGTATCCTGGTTGTTGTGAGTTCATCCGGTGAAATTCAAATCCAAATCCTTACAGTTATAGCAATCACGGTATCAGATAACGTCGTACTCAAAACAGGGGAGATAACTAACAAAATTAATGTGGGTTCAGACCCCCATTTATTTCTCATTGACTTGGATGTAATTTTGAACCAAAGTTTAGATAATATTGTCCAATGAAAGTTCAAGAAGCACAAACTTGAAGTACTTTTAGACTAAACATATAACACTATAGGGTTATTTTAGGTCTAAGAAAAGTGTTCTGTTTAATATAGAAATCTTTACCTACATGATGTGTGACGAAAACTAGGGTAATGAAGTAGCTTGCATTATCCTACTACTAACTTAGAGTCTAGACTTAGACTAACTCACTTCAAGTTATGTCAGTATCCATTAATGGAAAGTAGGGTACTATCGTCCTGTCATCTCGGGCACAGATTAGTCCAATTAACTAGAATAATGTTGACGTTAAACGTCCTATTCAGAAACTGATATTAATTTTGGAACATGAGTAAACCAGGATTCCCCATCGAGGAGCCACAGACTTTCAGTAGAACTATCAAACTGTTATGCTTAACCGTTTAGTTATTTGGTTTACTTTTATATCTCTGCTTTTTCTTTGTTCGTAGATTAATTGAAAATTAGTTCCTAATTTTGGGGAGCCATGTAACGGTAGTTGTGCGATAGACGAAGTGTTCCGATTGCTAACTTTGTCTACTGGCTGTTTGTCGGCTAATTTCCTATTAAAGGGAGAATTAATTGATGTTGTTTGTTGTTTCTCTTTAATTTTGCCTTTACGTCTTAAGCTTGTATAATCTCATAGTTTATATATTATTAGTTTGCGTATTAAATATGTAGATATTTATTCAGGGAATCAAATTATGATTATAGGCATTTAGTTAAGTTTATTATGTTTACCTAATAAGCTTCCCTCAAAATACGTGGTCTTTCGTAGATCATCATGGCAGCCAAATGCATGAAATCGGGAAAGGGGTGAAGTCAAAAAGGTTATTACGTTTTATAAACACATAATTTATATATTTATAGTATGCTAATATGTTTATTGTATGTTTAAGTACATGTCAGTATTATTGTGTGCTTTGCCAGGCAATGTTTTAGTCATATTAAGTCAGGTTTATAATTCGTGGAGACAGCGCTGTCGTCTGTCAGTGTCATCGTCCTTGGCCTTTGAACAGGGCTACGTATTGTTTACGTTGTGTTCATTGTCGTCATTAAAGTTAGTCAATCAGTACTGCATGGTAATCCGATGTATTTTTCTTATTTCAGTTTTCACGTAATGTTTAGTGAAATCTTCAGAATGTACATGTAATATTCAGTGAAAGCTTCAGAATATAATATTCAGCATGTAATCAAGTATTATTCAGCATCGTCAGTAATGAGTAATATTCAGCCATGGTGTCTTCAGTATAATATGTAGCACGTTGATTATAATCAGAATTAAAAGAGGAATTCATCCGTATTCGAATTCTCTCATTAGGCTATGTAGGCCCATGCGTATGCGACCTGATTTGTGTAAGCTGATGTGTGAACTGTTTATATTTGTAGCTGTTATTTAATATATAAAGTTTATTACATTGAAGAACTACACGTCGTTGTTTATATTTCGCTAAATGTTTCAGTGTAGAAAGCATTGACTTCAGAGTATTCGTCCGCAGAGCATCATTCCTCTGTCAATATTATTTGGCTGCTTCAGCGATAGAGGCATGCTGTTACAGGGTTTAATGTCCTACTGTTCTGCTCCTACTGGGCTAATGAAGACGGGCATACGCCATACAGTGTGCTATGAGGGGGGGGGGTTGCCAGGACAGTGGCGCTACGGCCTAGTCTTATATCGAATTCCAGCTGCCAAATGTGGACACGAGACCTCGGTTTGCCATCCCATCCGAACAACTAGACAGCTGTCCTTGGCAGGAACACCGTTCTTCACCATTGACAAGGAGAAAACACGCCGGAAAATCCCGATAAGCTTTTTCGGCCAATGCAGGGATCGACCTCCATGCGGGAGTGAACCCGCGACCTCCAGGCTAGCGAACCAGCGTCTTACTCACTTAACCACCGTGGCTCCCGTTTTAGAAATAAAATGGAATTTAGGATCCTATATTACTGCGTCAACCGTGACAAAAGAGAGAGAGAGAGAGTGAGGGAGAGAGTGAGAGAGAGAGAGAGAGAGATGGGGTTTAATGTCCACTCAACAAAAAACAGGTCATTTCGGGATGGCTCAATTTTATTTCAATAATTCGCTTGTGCTTAGGGGTGTTTAGCATTGGAAGGAAACTGGGGAACCCCCAAAGAAAACCCACGAGGTTTTACAGGCCACCGAGGAATCGAATCCATTGCCCTTGACGAAATGACAGACCTTATGATACAACGCGCGCACGCGCTAACCATTCGGTCATCACATCCCCCCCCCCCCCCCCCCGTTATAATGACAGGGGTTCTTTTACGTGCACTCTCACTCTCGACTAGCTGTTGTTCCCTGCATTATTGGAAAGGAGTATCCATGCTGGCAAGGCCCTGAGGAACGTTCCAGTCAACATATTGTGCTAATACCTAAATGTTTGAAATACCTTCAAAAACACCACAAATTTAATTACAAATTCAATTTGAAAGTTAATGATTTTTACTTCTAGTGTAATAAGGATTAAAAGTGACGTCATGCCATTATTGTACGTAATATAATAGAATGACGTCATGACAATTAGATTTTCCGTGTATATTACTACTGGAAAGTCGCACATCGTATTTTCTACAAGAATATTTGATATTTTCTCACAAATCTCTTCAAATTGACCTTAAATTGTCTTCATTAACTTCTATAAGGTAAGTGACAACAATATTCTGTTATTTTCATCATTAAAATTTAGGATTATTTCAGATTTAGATCTAGATATATGATAATAATAATAAAATGTAGCCGAGACAAGAGATTTAGATTTAGATCTAATCCTCGCACTAGATTATTTAATAAAGACAACGTTATGATAAAGATTGAATCAAGAAAAAAATGAAATGAGGTTTAACGTCCTACTTTTCTAGTCTACAACGGTCAATACGGAAAAAATGAATTGGGGTTTATAGGCCTATTGGACTAATGATGACGGGCATACGCTATGGCCGACACTTATACCGAATTTCAACTGCAGAGGGATCTTTTATGTGTACACAGGACCCCGGGTTTTCGTTCCATCCGAAGAACTAGACAGCTGTCCTTGTCAGGCCCTCCATCCTCCACCACTGACAAGAGGAAACCACGTCGAATAGTCCCGATGAACTTTCTCGGCCAATGCAGGGATCGAACAGGCAGTCACCATGGCTTCGACGCGCATACACCATTCAATGTGCGATGATGGACATTTTGATCGGTCAGCGGCGTTGCGGCCTAATCTTACATTAAATTCCTACTCAACTGACATGCACACGGAGCCTCTGTTTTTCGCCCCATCCGAACGACATGGTTATTGCCTGAACTCCAGACACGGAAAAACCGCGCTGAAAAATCCCGAGGAACTTTGTGGGTTCTCGGCTTATATATTTATTTAATTAATTATTTATTTTATACAGAAATAAAATGGAGGATATTAAGATATTGCATGAAGAACTGAGAACTAGCAGATCTAAAACTCGACCAAATAATCCACCAAAAGGTTTGCTGAAATTATAATATTCTTATCAAAGAGCGAGAGAGAGAGAGAGAGAGATAGAGAGAGAGAGAGAGAGAGAGTTGATTATAGGCTTGTCATGTGAATAAATGTCTAAATAATAATTTATATAACGTCTGAAGCCAAAATGAAAACCTGTAATAGACACATTTAGCTCTTACATAATACATGTTTAAAAAGCCTAATTGAAAAGGGGGTGAGGAGTGGGGTGGGGGTGGGGGTAGCTCTTACATAATGTATATTTAAGATCTATTTATTTCTTTGCTAATATTTATATATATTTTATTTTAATTTTTTCAGGATTTTATCCTACACCTGGTCGTCCTATAATCCGATTTAAATTGGTTGATTTAGACTTCAGCCTCCAACTAGGCGACATCCAGGACATCAAAACACGACCTCTGTTTTTCAGCATCATCAACGATTCTGATGCTACGAGTCGTAGGAATGAAAGACCAATATGCGAAATCTTGTCAAAAGCTAATTATAAGACCACAGCTGCTGAGATCGGTGGTGGTGATGGCAAAATTATTCCCGGGGATCTAACGACAAAGATGTTTGGTGGAACAGTTGCTATAACTCGTCAGAGAAACTTGAATGTTGCACGACAGAAAGAACATGAGGAAATCAAATATGGTGATGATGATAGCAAAATTATTCCTCGAGATCTAGAGACAAGGATGCCACGTACCCTTAGGTCGTCTGCAGTGAGGACCCTTTCCAGGAACTTGATTCCCGGAGTTATAACGACAAAGATGTCAGCTGGAACATTTGCTACATGTACCCATAGGTCGTCTGTAGCTGAAACCCTATCCAGAAACTTGATTCCTGGAGATGTAAGGCCCAAGATGCCAGATGGAACAGTTGCTGCATATTTCACTCCATATACCCTTAAATCGTTTGCAGCGCAGACCCTTTCCAGAAACTTGATTCCTGGAGATGTAAGGCCCAAGATGCCAGGTGGAACAGTTGCTGCATATTTCACTCCATGTACCCTTAAATCATTTGCAGCGCAGACCCTTTCCAGAAGCCTGATTCCTGGAGATCTAACGACAAAGATACAAAAGATGCAAGGTGGAACAGTTGCTACATATTTCACCCCATGTACCCTTAGATCGTCTGCAGCTGGAACCCTTTACAGAATTTTGAATGCTGTAAGACAGCAAGGAAATCTAGGAATCGTAGATGGAAATATTTCTGAAAGGACAACTTATAAAAATGGAGCCATAAATATGGTTGACAACACGAAAGCTGAAAACGTCATCTCTTCAACTCAAGTCAAACCGACTTCTAGTGGAACCATTCCTGAGATTGAACTCTCAGACAGAATTATAAGTCATCGGTGCCAAGATCCCAAAGATATTGTTGATATAAACACTTCCAATTCTACAGTTTCATCAGTCATGACAGAACATCGACCTTTCTCAGATAAAACTGAAAAACAAGAAACGCCTAGAACCAAGAATAAGCAGAATTTTCTTAAAGTGAGTTTTTTTTCTGTTTAAAACTCATTGTCATGGTAACCATATAACAAAATATTGTTTCCGTGTTATATACAATAATTTCAATGGTCATTATCATTTTCATTCAGAAAATTACTTAATTTTAAACTCACCAAGTTATAAAGATCCAAACACAAAGTTCAATAAAGAGAAATATATTTTATTATCATTTTCAGAAATTCTGGAAAAGAATCACCTGGAAATCAAAGAACAAGACAGAAAGTAAAATAGGTCAGTTTATATTTTATACTAGTACATCATCAATCATCATAAAAAGGGGAGTCGCGGTGACTCAGTGAGTAGGAGGCTGGCTCACTAACCAGGAGGTCCGAGATTTCCCATCGTGGTTTCCCCTTGTCAGTGATGCAGGACTGAAGGACTGGCAAGGACAGTGTCTAGTCGTTCGGATGGGTCAAAAAACGAGGTCCCTTTTAGACATTGGCGTGAAGTTAAAAGAACTCTCAATTTTTGGAATTCGAATATGAGTAGGCTGTAGTGCCGTTGTCCGGGCAAAATTTTCATCATAGCACACTGTATGGCGTATGCCCGTCTTCAATAGCAGAAAAGTAGGACGTTAAACCCATTTCATTTCGAGATCTCATTCAATGATTTTTAAGATACTAAGGTTTTAAATTCTTTAAATCGAAATCTGTACCTTTTTAAATATTTCAGATGAACAAAGTGATAAAAAGTTGAAGAAATCGTCCAAGCTGACATCTTTAATGTGTTTATGCCAACCAAAAACCATGGATTAAACTGGAGAGTGAACGTTAATTGTTTATATATTTTATCTATAGACGATCGTATCAATACAAGTTTTATATTTATATTTGTAAGAAAAAACAAAAATTACGCCTTAAATTCAACACATTTGTAAGAAAAACCAGAAATTTTAAAAACAAAGATCACGCATAAATTCAACACATAACTTCCGAACAATGTATTTCTATAAATTTATAAAATTTGATATAAAATTATTTTTATTAGAAATTGTTTTTTTTCTTTTTTAACTTATGGAACATAACAATATTCTTGGTAATATTTTAGTGGTATGTAGGGATCCACGGTGACTCAGTGAGTTAAAGACGTCGCTTACCTAGAGGTCACGTGTTCGATCCCCCAGAGTTGGCCGAGAAAGTTCATCTTGTTTACAGGGACGGTGTAATGTAAGGGTCTGTTTAGGGGAATGTCATAATTTCGTTTAAGTACGACTCGTAGCGTTATTTGTGTTTGAGTTGAGTAGAATTCTGAATCGAAAATAAATTGGGGGGGGGGGTACAATTATTGATTAGTGGAGATATCGATCAGATTCTATGGGAAGATTTGCGACCAATCACACCTGCACTTCGGAGCTACTGTCCTCTTAGATATAAAACAATGGAGTTTTAACGACTTGCTTACTCCACATAAATTAAAGTATTAAAGTACATTTGATTGTGATAATTCTTGTTACAACCTGATCCTCTAGATGTGGATGTGTGTGGGGGTGGTGGTGGTGTGTGTGTGAGGGGGGGGGGGTATTGCGTGGTAGCCAGAGAAATGGGGTGTAACGTCCAGTCGACACAAACTAGGTCATTTCAGGACTTACACATGGTTCAATTTTATTTCTAGAATTCGCTTGCGCGTATGGGTCTTTAGCAGTGGGAGGAAACCGGAGGACCCGGAGAAAACCCACGATGTTGCGACCCTATGCCTTGTCACGTACAACCGGTGATTCGAAACCACGCCAGTTGACTCAATGACAGACCTTATGATACAGCACGCACGTGCTAACCATTCGGTCACCCACCCCCCTTTCGCCCCTCCCCTCCCCCTCTACACCCCACCCCCGCGCCTAGGGCTATAGCGTGGTAGCCAGATAAATCTCACGAGCTCGTAATCGAATCCGTGACCTGCATAGTAGATATGAGACCCAAACAAGAGGTATTTTAACAGAACAATTCATTTCTAATGTTCATTACTTCGGAATCAACTGGATAATCACGGGTAACCTCTAGTTAGAACTTTGCTAGTCTCACGTTCTTCCAGAGCTGGGTCACAGTTGATCAGAAGTCAATTCATCCGGGCATGAAGTAACAACTGTCATATATGATTTGTTGTTACTGCTTGTCTATATATAATTGCCCTACACATTTGTTACTGTACTTGCTTGAAAACGTTGAGAGAATACTCTTCGAGAGGTCGCCTAAATAAATCACTAATTGTTATATATGTTATAGCTTATAACTTCCATTCAATTTGTCCATTTCAAATAGTGTTAATTCCAAGTTTTAAAAATCGTATTCTTGTTGTTGTGAGTACATCCGGTGACATTTAACCAAATCCTTACAGTTATAGCAATCACGGTACCAGATAACGTCTTACTCAAAACAGGGGAGATAACTAACAAAATTAAGAAGCACAAACTTGAAGTACCTTTAGACTAAACATATAACACTATAGGGTTATTTTAGGTCTAAGAAAAGTGTTCTGTTTAATATAGAAATCTTTACCTACATGATGTGTGACGAAAACTAGGTTAATGAATTAGCTTGCATTATCCTACTACTAACTTAGAGTCTAGACTTAGACTAACTCACTTCAAGTTATGTCAGTATCCATTAATGGAAAGTAGGGTACTATCGTCCAGTCCTCTCGTGCACAGATTAGTACAATTAACTAGAATAATGTTGACGTTAAACGGTGCCTATATGAAACACTTACCCAAAAATGGTAATTGTCCCGCCCAAATAGCTGCTGCATTATACTTCTATATATTATAGAGCGGGTTTGATTTAACCTCAGACAATCATTCGGGGCCCAGCGGATCACCATACCTATAGCCTCCTCGGCTTAGAGGCCAGGGTGAACACATCATCCTAGGGCGAACGTTATGTAGAACTATCAAGAAGTATGTGACTCTTGTCACGTTTAAGCCGTTAGGTCTGAGTTAGAAAGGATATTAAACTCAGACCGTGGATAATTTAATAACTCAAAAAAGTAACTATCATAGATATTGTAGTTTCCTGTATTTAACCTTTGTAGTTTGCTGTATTTGTTAGATAAACGTAGTAACAACATAAACGGTGTTCCAGAGTCAATTAATTGATGATTGAGATAATTGATCCAACAACGTGAAGTCCAAGTAGGTCCTATACGATCAGCTGTCCTCATAGTGTCACAAACATGTAACCATCGTCTGTACACATCACCATTGCCAACATGACTCTGTCATTATTTCGTGACCAAACCCTTACCAAAACCCTTGGAATGTACCTAAAACCTGACAGAAAATATCAATTCATACTTTCTTCTTCGATTCTAGACCAAAAGGTCAACAGTAAAGGTCATGCAAAGGGCGGGGGGGGGGGGTGTAGTGTATGTGGGTGTGTGTGTGTGTGTGGGGGGGGGGGGGGGGTAATGGTGGTCTGCCTCCATTCAGACAGTATATCCGAAGGCATCAAAGACAAATGTCAATAACATCGTAACCTAGGGTGTATCGATGAGACAAATCGGACAATTACAAGTAGTGAATTATAACGTTGGTGAGCTTGTGCCTGCATGGACTCAGGACACAATTAGAGTTGAGAGACAATTAATATTATAAAATCAATCTACTATTGCTTGAATTGACAATAGTTCAACTTAAGGGAGATAACTCAGATTTGATAAAGGGAGGCAGACCACCATTAATTTCCCATTGACTTTAATGTTAATTCTGGCCTCTTTGCCCACCTCCAACTTTTCCCCAAATTTTCGTTGGGCTGAATGCTTTTCACTACAGACAGAGGAACAAAAGGTCATGTCTTTGCACTAAAATTTGTATGAGGTTGACCACCAAAATTTTGAGATACACAAACTTGAACAAGCATACTAAAAACATGTAACTAGTTGCCGTACATATCGCCGTAGCTAACCTGATAACCCTCTTATCCTTCCGCCTCAAAATCATGAATATTTACCAAAACCTGGCAGAAAATGTTAATTCAAACCCTCTTCGTCCATTCTAGACCAAAAAATCAAAAACTACAATTCGTGGGTATGATGAAATTTAATGGTGGTCTGCCTCCAAAGAAAACAATTTCATTAACAAAAATCTTGTTAACGTTCACTCGACACATTCAACAGTGGGAGTACAACATGTGTAGAAACTCCATTTCATTCCATTTCAAATTGCTAGAAAAATTACGCGAACACCGTTCACCATTTATTGGGATATTGGCATGTATTGAATTCTCTTATGCCTATCACGAATCGCCCCCGAATAGTGCCGAATCGAAATTAATCGAAATTCGTGACAATTCGGCAAATGATTCGGGGTATTAATAGTTGATTCCAGGTATATTCCGAAATTCGTAGACCTGCCGCGAAAGTTTTGACATACATACATAATCGAAATTCGTGACAATTCGGCAAATGATTCGGGGTATTAATAGTTGATTCCAGGTATATTCCGAAATTCGTAGACCTGTCGCGAAAGTTTTGACATACATATTGAAAATGTTTTAAATTAATCAGTTGTTTTCAATAACTGTATTTTGGACTGTAAAATGTTGCTATCAGACGAACGGTCCTACCGACAAAAACCGACAAAAGACTTTCTTGTGTCAATAGCATCCAAAGTATTGTAAAATATTGTTTATCCCGTGTTATTTGTTTTCGTGTTATTCAGGCGACATTGACTAGGAAAGGTCCTGATCGGTGATTAATAGTACCGTTTGTCAATATTTCAATTATTCATAACTTTGGAATATATGAATATGCATATTTATAATATATCATTCCTTGTCGATCATTTTTTTCTATACTTTGGGCGCCATTGACCAAAAACAATAATACGCAGGACCCCATACGGATAATATTGTAATATGTGATATTATTGTAGTTCTCATGACTAGCAGTATTACAATCCAACTACGACGATCCGCCGTGTTGTTATTATAATGTTATTTGATTTCTTGAACGTCGTCATGAAACACGTTACTTTTGTCCGATTTATGTACATTATTACTATTTCAAAACTATAACTTACGTATTTATATCTGGTAATGTGTGTCCTTGTATCATCATATTTTCCCGATAGCAAACTTTATGTACTAGCGCATGTAAACTCATCGAAATTCCATAAAATGTCATTGTAAGTTCGTACGATCTCAACCTAGTCGTCCATCCATGATAGATTTTACAAACAAACGTCATTGAAATGTCAAATATATATATATTCTATTTAAACCAGAAAGTGTTGAATATTGTTAACTTATCATAGTATTTCTACTGTTGTTGTTGTTGTATTTATATTGTTTTTCTAACTTATAATTGGTCGTACTTAGTAATGTAAAGTACGAACTACGTTTTGTCCATCACTCATTGTGTAATGGCGCACGACGCCACTAGGCCTATGTATGCTGGGGCTTTGTGTTGATACTTGTCCGTTTTATGATTATTTCATTAATTCTTATTCTGTATATTTTAAATCAACTTCTGCTAGATTTAAGCAGATCGGACATGCACCGGACAAGTCGGCATAGGCTGTTATCGTTTTAAATTATAATGTTATTGTCGTTAGGCTGTAATTAGTTCCGACGCTCCCAAAAAGGACAACCTACCATTGGTCAATCCGGTCACCTGGTACGTTGGTGTTGCCTATATAAGACTCCGTTGACGACGTGATGGCAGATAGCAATCGACTTTGGTCAAGCAGCATCTCTACTCCGGAGACTTTCGAGTATTCTTAAGATCAATCACTTTATATTTCAAACTTTTCTAACAGTAGAACCTATTGTTTTACTAGGTGAGGATTTATTATAAAACACGAT